AACGAAACGTTGGCATGCGATGCGTGAAAAATGTTTTTGCTACCATGAGCTCCACTCCTGAACCTTAATCTGAGTAATCCCCGGAAAGGACAAGTGCGGGTTCAAGTCCCGTCCGAGACTGGAGTTTTGCCCACAAATCGCCAACCTTGTGAATCTGAGTAATTACTTCTGCTGTCGTTTGTTGTACTTAAGTGATACCTCTCCGGAGTTTTAGAGATATATTCCGCCCCCATGACGAAAATAAATGGCCTCAGTCTAACCGTCTTTTCGCCTAGTTTCTACAGTTCTTCTAATCTACGGTAACCTGGCTTTTCACAGAAAGTTTTTACAGAGGTCCTAAAACGCCATATTGGTAAGTACTCTTTTCTCTGCCTTTGGTGGATCCCATATCTTGGAGGAGTCATGTGAGAAAGCGAAGACAGGGTATGCTGTTTCTTTTACGAACTTTACAGAACCTTTTTAAAACCTCCAGTGACGTCTGATGATGTCGAACCATATGTTGGGCTTAATTCATGGACGGTACTCGTGTTACAGTTGAGCTATAAATAGGCTACTCGTACCACCAAAGGCTTTGTTACATCGCCTTATTTATGCTAGAACAGGGAACTCTTTGGTGAGTTGTCCATTCAAGTTTCATTCGATACCCCTCTTTCCAACGTTTTGCAGGAGTTTTCCCCACCTTTCTTAAACAATCATTTTTGCGTTTAATTCTCTGATTTTGCATCGGAGATATGTATGTAGGGGTGTAAAAATGGATTCTTTTGAACATCTTTCTTGTGCAGGTTAACAAACATTGTTGACAAATCTTTAACAACAAAATCTGTTAAATTTTATTGTAATGTCTTTAATAAAAATCTATAATTTTGTATTGTGTCGTGTACCGTATGAAATCCATTTTTTATCTTCATTACAGAATAAAATGTCTAGCCTAAGAATACTTTCGACTTATTCGGTCTAGTTTTCAAGTGCCATCATTCTCATCGAAGTTGTACAGCATTTCATTATGACGATCCGAGTTTTCAGGACAATCCGAGCAATTGTTACAGACGTACATGCAGTAATGCAACCAGTAATGGTCTACTACAAGAATGCTTTTTGATTTGTGGGGAAGGTCTCCCTTGACTTCAAATGCAAGTCTCTTCAGATAACATGAACGCCCGCACAATTTCACTGTTGGATCCTGCGCGAGAATGTTCCTGGGTCCATCCCTACTTTGACCCATGGTGAATGGGATGAATCCTCTTCCTTCAAATTAGAAATGACGGTGTTTCAAGATCATCGCTCGAATCAGTAGTAAATTTTTGAGCAGTTATAATGAAGAAGGACTTCCTTAGCATCTAAAAAATTATTAGAACAATTCACAACAAAAAACATCAAAAATATAGGTCTAGGTTACATGGATATTTCAGCATGTAGCTTAGGCATATGTTTTCATGCCTTGCACGTCCCTGTTTTTCCAATCTTTCCTTGTCACACCCCTTTGTGATTGGTGATTAGCTCCTCCCAATTGCCCCCCACCACAAACAATTTGTTCAATTAAAAATAACAATTTGTGATCTGATTTTACGTCCGCTATTTTTGAACAACATCGTCATTGCATACTAAAGTGTACACACTGGTATTATTTAGCAACGTGCAAGTATTGAATATCATCAGAACCCCTCAAATTACCAGAAGCAAAATGGTCCAGCCGTTTTCCAATCTTCGCCAGCTTCTTGAGCATAAGTAAGCTATGGATCTACCTCCATCTGATTCATACACGATCCTGAATATTCCCTGAACCAAGAACTGCCTGAGAAGTATGCAACTGTCTGAAACAACGATGAAGCGGATGGATTGCTTGCGCTACCTTTGAGAACAATGCTCTCTCATGTTACAAATTCGAACAAGTGGAGGAAATATGGAACTTTAGCAAAGCGATTTAAATGAGCAATATCAGTGAGAAACTCATCCAACAAGGTTCACAGTGGACTCCCACAGGAGCAGTGTACACAGTGGACTTTTTTTCCAATTCATTGACCTTCCTCTCGAATTCGAAGATCAACTTTCTAACTGCTACCATAAGAAGCTCAAAGGTTTTTGCCAGTCTTCCTCTGGAGCAAAAGCCCTAGTAGACTTGCTGACCTTCCCGGGTGTACGCCTGGTCATTTGCTATCATTCCTCGGACACAGGTTGTGCCTCAGTGTCGGTAGGCAAAGTTTACTTTGCGACCTTCTGACGTCGCCGTTGCTTTACGTCTTATCGCTACACCTGATAAGGCACCTTCACCCAAACACACTCTTGCCTCACAATCGCCGCAGTGTTCACAATAGAAAACGAATTACAGCTTCCAACTGTACCAAGCCGAACTAGGGCTGTTCTGAGCCGACGGGCCGACGACGACAATCATGAAAATCGAACATAAGGTGAGCTTTTGTAGTCGCATTTTTGACTCTATGTCCGATGCTCCCTCTGGTTCTATTGCCTCTTCTACCGAAATTTGTGTGGCTGAACAGTCAGTCGATGTAGTCCATTTCCGATACTGATGAGGTAGCATGAACAGGATACACATTTTTGTATGCAGTCATTACTTGTTAGAATGGATGACCGTTTGATGAGCTTCCCGTATGCGTATAAGCCTTTGAACAAAATGATGTTGATATCGATTTGGTTCTTAAATTTGTGCCATATTGGCTGCAAGCTTTCGTCAGTTGTGCGACAAGCTCCAATTGAAACTTCTATCCCGAAATGTGAATCAAAGTGGCACCATGCCGACCATTTCACGATGCCTTATAGAGCCCGTGGGATAGGAGGAACCTTTCCTTCCAGGATTAGGCCTATCTACACCAGTTTGGCAGAAATCCGACCTTTCCCTCTCGGTTCTGTCTCTTTTCATCGAGGATATGTATTGTCAATGAAAAAAATCTGCGACATGCTAGTCTATAAGTGGACAGCCTTGGAACGCTTACTACCTTAGTGGATTTTCTTTTTGCACTTCAGGTTTCTACTATCTTAGAAATATATTAGGTCCTATGGTTCTCGTTACAGTCGGTAATCGAAAGAAGTAATCGGCTCTCGAGATAGTTAGAAGCCAAAATGGCTTACAATAGTTATGTGCAGGCGTTGAAGAAATATAGAAAAGTTGTGTATGAGGATCCGTTTATACTCGCATTCATTCTGATTGAACAAACCACCTCGCCCTGCTGAAATGGCTACCACACATTATTATGTACTGCGTAAGGCTTCAGAGGTTCTCTTCGCCTATATTCTGCCTGTTGAGTGCAGAAAATTATTTTTATATGCCCTTGCTGACATTCTGAATCGAACTCGGTTATTCGCATAAAAGAGTTGCTCATATCAAAATCGATCGAATCAGTCCAAAGCACTAAATGCTTCTACCTCTGTGACATTCCCTCAGTTACTGCAGGACTTACGTTTGTTAGAGTAATACCTAATGTCAAAGCGCGTTTTCATAATGTCTACAGAAACCCTGAGCCATTTCTGAGGCTTAAATTCGTTTCAAATGTGAAAACTATATTGAAATTGGGATCATGTCATTTTTTACATTGTTTCTTCGACCCTAAACTGCTGCGTTGGCCGTTCGCATGAAGGATCCATTACAGAAAGTTCTGCTCATCAAGCTCTTTCAGATAGCATGCTTCTTCATAGTTTTCGGCACGGTGTATTTCCTGGAATCGATTGGAGGCTTTTACATGACGAGGTAATAATCTTCTGCTTCGAGGTTTTTTTCACATATGGATTTTGTACTAGACTGTTAGAACACATCCACCGTACTTCCCCTAACAATTGTGTTCTTTGCATTTTCTTTATGTTGTGCACGTTTATATGTAGTCTGTAAAATTGAGCCACTCAAAGCAATTCCGTTGAATTCCCTAACAAACCACTCAATAATTTCATGGCAGGAACACTAAAATGAAGGTAATGTCTGGCGCTGGTCCCTATACAGTCGTCTACAGAACCCTTAGTTGCTGGACCTCCTGCTCTAGATTTTTTTTACATACATGAATTCGCCTATGGGTGGAGTTGGAGTATTGGATACGGGCCCCACTTTACATTCGCATGGCCCAATGATCGAATCCCCGACCCATACCCACTCAGAGTAACAAGCTTCCATCCCTCCAAAGCGTTTTATAGGATAAGGTCACTGAATTTGCCATCGGTTGGCAATCGTACTCCATTGCATACCCACCTAAGCATTTAAAACGCCCCTTTGATCCAAAGCGGAAGTCAAGTGGTACAGGGCGCAATCCGAAAACGAGGTTTTTGACGCCAAAGAACTCATAGCGTCATCTTTATGAGAATTAATAAAAACTACTGTGTTTTCAAAATTTCATGAATAGGCGCTACCCACCCACATCCGAACCAGTGGAAAACGACGACAAATATTTGTTTGAATATGTTTCTTGTTTACAACATTCAAAACCTGAATTGATGGGGAAGCGATGTTATCGTCCACATATCATATCAGCAGTGTATGTGAAAGGTGCTATGAAAATTGAACCCCGACGACCGGTCGAGCGCTGATAACATCCCCTGTGGTTCGTGCTCTCTAGTGATGGCATAGGAAACTTTTTTGCTCGAAACGAGCCATCGAGTATGATTTTTACCTTTATGATAGCTCACTTCATAGCAAGATGTTCCAGAAGTAATGGAAAATGAGCCGATCAGACTCTCTCTAATTTTGAAATCCTGGCACAGCTAAGATTATCCACAGAACCTGCGTGGTGTCTGTGGGTGTCACACTGAGATAGGAGTAACGAAGTGAGTAGTTTGTGAAGCTAATTTAACGGAAACATGGGGATCATGAAGAAAGGAAGAATTGGCTAATGAAAAAGCAATTTATGTAGATGCCTCTATCGGTTTATCTGCTGTGCTTCACAAATAAATAGCTCCCACATAAAGGAAACAAGTGTCGAAGGGAAGAATGCGTCTGTGTCAACCCGCGAAAATTACTGATATTCCCCTGTGATGTTTGATTTGGAAGGGTTTATTCTCTTATCATGCTAAGGTTTACCAAAAGTTCAACAGGGTTCTACTCTCGGCATTTCAGTGCCGTTGTGTTTATCGAGAAGCAATTCCAAATTCCATCGAGGCTTAGTGGGACGATGGTATCAGCCGGAGACTTCGCCTATATTCCTGTCGTCGTGTTTACAAGCTACTTCGGAGGGAAGGTATGATATTAATTAGATAGCATTACTAGAAATCCAAAGGACATCAAAGGCTACATTCTTGGTGTATTCTCAGATTACTACTTAGAGAGACAATTTCAATTTTATTCCACCAAATATATTGTAAGTCGAATAGGGAAATCTCAAAATGGCTTGACAATAAACAGGAAGGCACAGTTTTGTGGAACTAACAAATTTCAGGGCAACCGAGCCAGATGGATTGGTGGCGGTTGCATGTTGATTGCCATTGCAAACCTTCTCATCAGCTCCTCCAATTTTCTGTTTCCCGTGGAGGAGTACCATGTAAACAGCACCTATATTCCTAGTTCATTAGCTTATGAAGTGAATAGGTAAGTTGTTCTTTGCTCTATTCATTTATTATTGGTCAAGTTCTTCATAGCGTTGGAAAACTTTTTGGGAGGAAGCAGAAATAGAAGACGCTCTATTGCATGGGTCACATAAGGCTCTTCATTTGTTATCTGTTCCACAGCTAGAACTATCCTCGAAATTTCCCCATTAAAAAGCTATGAATGTCATCATTTACAAAAAGGTACCCCAGACAGCTCCCCGTCAACATTTGTTTTTGCCCACTGTCCTATTGATCCGCTTATTTGCATGTCTATGATGAATTCGAGGGATTTGCTCACCAGGCAAGCT